TATGGGTTAAAAATCGCTTGCTATATGAAAAACGGAGATTTTTTTTTTTGAAGTGGACGATAATAATTTTATTTGTGTAACGTTTATATTGAATGACACTTGATCTGCAATGTCCCGCGACTACTATGATTATATTTTTTTTTTCAATGATTTTAAAGCTTTTAATTCGTCATAATCTGTTTGTACGTTATTTTGTTCAAAAGAATTAAAAGCAGCAGTTTCAAAAGCTTTTTCAGCTTCATTTATTGAAACAATAGAAATAATTGTATTACTTACAATAACATCTTCCTCTTCAATTTGACCAAAAGAACCAAGAATTTCTTCATTAATCTCGTCATCATCAATTGGTATATATTCCTCTGTTTTTAATGCTGAACTGAAATTTAATCTATCAGTTAAGTTATCAACATCGTCTCTTTGATAATTTATAATATTTTGTGTTAATTTTGTTGCATTTCCGATTTGTTCTTCATAATCTAAAGGAATAATACCAGTTTCTATCCAGCAATTATTAATCCAACAAAATTTATTGCCTTTATAATGCCAATTTCTTTCGGATCTAAATGGTTTTGTTCCTTATCAAAAATTTTACAATAAACATTAGACTGTAAATACATTGTTATAAATGTAAATAATTTAATACAAACCTTAAAAGAACGAATTATCCCTATATTGCATGGTTGAAGGTGCTTAATTATGTTTAGAGGAAAGTGATGAAATTTAACTCTAAATTATCCGTTAAAAATATGCAAATAATATTTTTTATTTGCAACGCACATTTTATTGTTTTGCATCCATGCTTTACTATTCCAATAATAGTAAACTGGAAATGTATCTTTTTTAATCCCTCTTGATGGTTGAGGGTTTCATATTTATGAATAAATAAAGGAAATAGCTTTTCAGTACTATATAGTTTTTCAGTTAAATAATTAAAATATTTTGAAGAATGAACAAGGAGATACTCTGATGCTAGAATATTACCTATGGACTTTATCAAGAAGTAGGAAAAATCGTAACAAACAAAAATATTATACAAAACCATTGAAAACTGTAAAAAAAAAAAAAAAAAATAGTAGAATGATTTTTATTAAATTGACCAATAGTCACTATTTCACAAATAATAAACCAACTAGGGAGGGGCACCCAGAAAACAATTATATTCTATATACACAATTGCAGTCTGTACGTGAATTGCACGCTTACCCCTACAATTGTGTAGTTGTTTATCCTGTGTTAACGAAGGCTTTTTTTTTATTAAGAAATTAGAGGTGTAGTCTCGCAAATATGACATCAATACTCGCTTTATTTTTTTTTTGATCTCGTGTTTCAAATTTGACCTAATATTAAACATTAATGCCTAATGCTATATTAAATATTAAATATTAATATTGACAACATTTTGTTTTGTAAAATAGTAAAAAACAAAAGAAATCAAAGTAAAATCGTGAAGATTTTCATAATTTCAATCTAAAACCACAATCATAATAACTATTACTAATATTCTTCTTTTATAACATGAAAAAAAATTAAATCACATTTGAATTGTCTTTAGTGTCTGAGCTTGAACACACATAGGCAAGTCAATATTGTAGTGTAGAGTAACCTTTACATACATACGAGATTGATGTTTTTTTAATAAAATAAAAATGCACTTGAGCTATTTTTAGTGTCTGAGTTTGAAACAACATAGGCTGATCAATATTGGTACGTAGAACAACTTTTACATATCACATAAGACAGGTTTTGGTACAGGTTTTTATATGTTTTAATTTCGATGATTTAAAAATGATAAAAATGGAAACAAAGAATGCCGAAATTCCTTATTGTTGAACGATTGCTAGAGTTTGGTGATGATAAAGTTGTTCTTTAAATAATGCAGTTTTTATTTTTCAATCTCAAGATTTATTTTTAATTCTTTATCAATTAATCCTATCAGAGAAAAATTCAAATAAACTATGTTACGAGAAAATTGTTTGTTACACGGCATTCAATTCTCCAAAGAAAAAACAAGCTTTTAAACGAAAACGTGACAGCGAGCTTCGTGTCTTTTACTCGCACAACGACATCACTCAGGGTCA